AGTACCCAATTCATTACCCAACTGGTTTATTGACTGGTTCAATCAAATTGGTCCTGTTCAGGCAATAATCCCCGAGAAAATCATGAAGATATATCAGAAATACAAAAACCTTACTCCTCAATACCCTCCATATCTTCGAATTATAAAATTCTGTTCAACTATGGGAATAAGCTGGTTTTTGGCCCACATTCCTAAAGTCCATCAACATAAAGACGAAACCTACCCAAAAACCCTATGCTTAAAAGCCAAAGTTTTTTTATGGAAGAAATTTGAGGTCCAGTATGTAGAAGAAAAGTTCGAGAATTGGAAGAAAATGGGCCTTATTAGTCAAAAAGGCCCAATACCAAAATAAATTCCCTCCATAAAAGAAAAAGGAAAATCCATAATAGATTTATCATAACTCCCCTCATCAAAAATTGAAAAAACCCAATTAAAACAAAAAATGCTCGAAACATTATCCTTTTTGGGCTCCGATGAAGAAGACGAAGAAAACGAAGTTATCATTAATATTCAAGACGCACAAGATCCTTATGAAGACGAAGAAGAAAATGTTGATTTTGATCAGTTCTAGCAACTAATTCATCCAACCAAAAAAGAATTGTAAAGAAGAATTCATAATATTATGAAGAAATTAGAAGAAGATTCTCATGAAATATCTCTCTAAGAAAAGCATCTTAGTAAGAAGCTGGGCTTATCCGGCCCATCGCCCAACAGATGTTATAGTTCCTCTTTCAGAAGAAGACTCAGTGAATTCCCTACGCAAAGCAAATGGGGGCCCACAAAGTTGAAAAGAAAAGTCATTGTAATTATGTACTTTTGTTTTTAGTGTCGGCCGTCGAAAATAAAGGCGTGTCAGTTGTAATTATCTTTTGTTTTTAGCACAGGTGTATCTTGTAATTATGTCTTTGGTCGACCACTGGTTACTAGTGTGCCAATTGTATAATTGAATAAGAAAATCTTAAGGTCTATAAAAGAGTCAGTTGCTGTAAGCTCTCTTAGAGCCTTAAACTCTATCTTCCTCAACCAACTCCTTCATAGCCTAAGTTTCCAACTTTCCCTTGTTTCCTCGAATAGTCTTGAAAATTGTAAGATTTCAGAATAATATAATATCTTCTTCTTTTATATCTTCTCTTCCGCTTTATATGCTATGCTAATGGTACATATATATATATATATATATATATATATATATATATATATATATATATATATATATATATATATATATATATATGTTTTCTATGTACTCTTCTTATCTCTTATCACATTGGTGTTCTTGTTGAGAGATGACGAAAAACACCAGGTTAAAGGAACTCCATGCGGATGTAAAACGAAATTCAGAAACATTGGAGAAGTATTACTTGGACGTATAGGCTTAGATTGCAAAACTGGAATCAGTAAATTCTTCTCGTTTTGAACGCCTGAAAATTTTGATTCATGTGAATGATGATAAGTTCAATCAGATTATGATTGCTTTAGAGACTTTACTACGACGTCAGGGTCTGTTCATGGTGCTACAAACTCTAAGCTCACATTCCAAGTCCAAAACGTGAAACTTGATTTTCCTCGCTTTGATGATACCAATGTCATAGATTGGATCTTTAATGCTGGACAATTTTTTGACTATTATGCTACATCTGAGGTTGATCGATTGTCTATTGCGTAGTGCATTTAGATAATGACGTTAATACCTTGGTTCCAAATGATGCAACGTTCCTCCCTTTTCCGTTCGTCGCATGCGTTTACGAAGGCGTTAACACTTGATTTTGAGCCAACAACATATGAGTGTCATTGGGCTTCTCTATTCAAGCTTAAACTAGTTTTGTTGTTGATTATTACAAAGCATTTTTGGTTAATCGCGTGTCGCCCATCAACAATGAGACTTTAATATTGGATTGTTTTTTAAGTGACCTTAAGGATGAGATTCGCAGGGATGTTATGGTCCTCTCTCCACCTTTCCTGGTCAAGGTAGCAGCATTAGCCAAATTATTTGAAGAGAAATATAACCCCTTCAGTGCCCTCACGAACCCTTTATACCAAATCAAAGCAACCACCATTTTTCCTAAGCGTAAAACCTATACTAGCTATACCAAAATAAAGACCCCTCAAAGCCTAACCAAATCCACGTTACCGCCTTCCCACCCCACCACTAAACCTTTTTCCAAAAACTACAAGCACCACCAAGTCAAAAAAATTTCACCGGCTGAGATATTATTTAGAAGAGAAAAAGGCTTATGTTACTTTTGTGATGAGAAATTTTCATTGAATCACAAGTGCTCAAATCACCAAATGATGATGTTGCAATTACTTGCAATGACTTGATGGGTTCACCTGAACCAAACTCCCTGATCTACCATAACTTGATATTGACAATGGTAATTAGGAACATCACCTTTCACTCAATGCCATGAAAGGAGTAGGTGGTGTGGGCACCATTGGGTTCATAGATCATATTGGGCCTATTAAAATTACAGTTATGGTTAATGGTGTTCATAAAACATTATCCAACCTCCATTGCTCAATTTTTTAAATTACCCATTGAATGTGTTTCAGGTTTTCAAGTTTTTATTGCCAATGGCCAATCCATGACTACAAAGGGTGTGATCAAGCAATTAACTGTGCCAATTCGGGGTCATCACTTGGTTGTTCCAGTATATTTACTTCTGGTTTTAGGGGCAGACTTGATTCTTGGGTCTTTGTGGCTAGTTATTCTTGGTCCTCACATTGCAAACCATGCCATATCCACTCTTAATTTTTTCCAGCATGGTCACTTTGTTGTTCTACGGGAAGAACATACGCCCAACCTCAACAAGAATGCTTCTCAATTCAAATGGTGCAACGGGAACTTTCGAGTGATTTTTCATTGACATTTCCTACTGACTTGTTGCTTGACCTGACAGTTTTATTGCACAGATATTAGACTATTTTTCACAATGAGAAATATTATACTCACCTCCATCATCCCAAATGAAGGGATTTCATTTTCTTGTTGAACTGGTTTTCAACCATGCTTTTGAATTGAGTGAAAGCATGTATTGTTTCTGATTTTGTTTTAAGGAAAAAATCCAACCTAATATGCTAACATCATCAATGAAATGAACATAACATTTAAAATGGAGACAAAATTGGAATTGGTTCCCATATATCAGTATGAATCAATTTTAAAGGTTCCTTGATATTGGAGGAAGAAGATTTAAATGATAACAAGTGACGTTTTCCTAGATGACAAGCTTCACAAAATAAAAATTGATTACTTGATAAAGTCTTTACATTGCAATTCTTCAACACCATTTTCAGGACTTTATTGTTGGGTTCTCCAAGCTTTCTATACCAATTCTCCATTATTAACATATAAATACATGGATCTTTATTAACTTGAGAGTTGACACTTGAAAGTTAGTATAATCCATCTTTAAGTTTCATTTTAATAGTGTCTTCCCTGTTAGTTTGCCCTTCATATAATAGTAATTTGCATCAAATTTAACAAGAGCATTATTGTCAGTAGTTAGTTTAGATACACTCAACAGGTTTTTTATTATTTTTGAAATATATAGGACATTATTTTTGAAATATATAGGACATTATGCAGGTTGAGATTATTTAATTTAGTTGAGCCTAAGACCAATATTCTCAATCTTTCACCATTGCCAACTAAGAGAGAATTATTACCATTATTTTCATTGTGATCTTTGAGTTTCTCGTTTTGATGAGTCATGTGATTGCTGACTCCACTATCAAAGTACCATTCCCTGTCCTGACTGTGGTAAGGGAGGCTATGAAAGTATTATGATATTCTCTTTTGTTATTTTCAGCATTATGATTGGAGCCTATATATAACTTATCATAGCGATAAAAATAATTCCCTACAGTGTGACCAATCTTGTTACATACGTGATATATTTATTGGTTTAGATATCCTCCTTCCTCTACCTCCTTTAAAGTTAGAGTCCCTCCAGTTGTCTTATATTCCCGAGAGATTATTGAAATTGTTCAGTTGTTCTATTTTGCTTTCATATTCCCGAGAGATTATTGAAATTGTTCAGTTGTTCTATTTTGCTTTCAAATGCAAATAGTTGGGTTTGTAGATCAACCTAACTAAGGTTGATTTGATCAAATAATTTGACTACCATAGGATTGTAATCAACATCTAGGTCATTTAGTATTTGGATCATCCATTATGAGTTGAAGATCGATGATCCTACAAACTTTAATTTGTGAGCAAAGTTTTTCATTTTGAGAGGATACTAATCTATCTTCATTTCTCCTTTATGAGTGTTGGGAATTTCTAACTTAAGGTAGATTATCCTTTATTTTATATGTGTACCTACTTGGTTGTGGGCATCATCCCATAATTCCTTAGAGGTTTTACCGTGCAACAACTACATTTATTCATATTACAAATTGTGTTTATACACACGTATTATAATACGATTGTGATCCTATAATAAAGTTGACAATAATTATAATAAACAAATATAAGAAAAAAATTGATCATTCAATACACATTACAATGATAAAATAATAGAATAATATAAGAGATATTAATAACAAAATATCAACATAATTATTAGAATTATAATTTTCTTTTATTGATAATAAATGGATTATACAATAATATTATTTATATTTTTGTAATATTATATGAGAGATAAATAACTACTTAATTAATAAAAATAAGATAAAAGAACTATAATAAAAGTGAGTAAGGTTAGAATAAATGAAGACACATTTGTGTCACGTCTAATCTCCAGAAAAATAACATAAAAGTGGTGTGATAATAATTTTTATTTTAATCCCCTGTTATAAAAAGTGAGGGTTTAATGTAATCAGTTAATTATTTTAAGTTATAGGTGAATAACTTATATTAATAGTTATTAGTTTTTATTTTAAAAAGATTCTCAATTAATTTATTTTATTTTGCATATGCAGTTTTTGGAGTCTGCTCGCAGTATATATCACATTTGAAGGTTTGGAATGAAGATCCTGATGGAATTCTAAGCATGCACCATTTACAACTAGTACATATTAAGGGTTGTGATGACCTTACAAGTGTGTTTCCGGCATTAGTAGCCAAAGATGTTGTGAAACTTGATGAACTAGTTGTGAAAGAGTGTGAGGGATTGATGACAACTGTTGCAGAGAATAATAATACACATGGAGAACTTACGTTGCCCTGTCCCTGTGTGAGATCATTGAAACTACGGGGTTTGCCCAACTTCAAGTATTTTTACTACTGCAGTGAGGAGAGTGACATTTTGACGCATACGGAGAATCAAGCACTAGTGCAAAAAGGGGCTTTTACGTCATGTATTTACGACTTTTTACGTCGTATTTAAGACTGACGTTAAAACGGGAGACGTAAATTTACGTCGGACCCTTTAGCCCGACGTAAATTTACGTCAATTATCAAGACCCGACGTAAATTTACGTCAGTTATCAAGACCCGACGTAATTTTGCGTTGCATATACCACTAAACAGACGTACAAACTTTCAGAAATTAAAAAAAAATATGCGACGTAAATTTGCTGTTTTTTTTTAAATTGGGTTGATTCTGTTTTACAACTAAAACCTGCAAATATATATTACAACCAGACAAGTCCGTAGGTTCAATTTTTTGTAGCTAGTAAATTAAAAATATAATATTATATAATTCAAACTACATAATAAAATAATATAATACAAACATACAAACTAAAAAATCTATTACAAACTAAAAAATCTATTACAAACTAAAAGTTAATACAAACTAAGCTACCTAAACTACATAATACACACAATATAATATGAACAAGAACTTAAAAAATTATGTACTAGAATTGTTGAACAAAAAATTTTGCTCATTGTTCCCGAATTTGGGTAATATCATATTCTGGCAATGGAGATGGATCTTGAAATACCTGAAACATTAATTTGACTATTGTAAACATGCAACATGAATAAAGTTAAATAAACTTAACTAATGTTAAAAACAATTACCTTCGTCCAAGAATCAATTATACTCGCACAAACAATGGCTCTCATCCAATATATAACATAGTAATCACATTCAAACGAGTCTGTTTGCTTATTACACTGAAATGATGCAAAAAAACATAATGTTATTTTCAAAATTTAAATACAAACAATAATTATGGTATTCACTTATATAAATAAGTTTCTAACCTTAGGATAAATGAACTGCAAAGTCTTTGTTCTAGGTTTTCCACTTAGAACATTAGTTCCAGACTACGATTCTAAGTGAAAAAAGTCATATATTATTCAATATGTATTTACAATTTAAAAACATAATTAATGAATAAAAGATAAAGTTACTCTTGTAATAAGCTTTTCATTTCTTGACTTGGTTTCCGATGTAATGAACAAAATCACACCACGAGTGTAATCCCGTGGTATGATTACAATTAACTGTCAATGGGATCTACATTGTATGACATAAAAATTAGTTACAAAAATATAAATTAAAATACAAATTAAAATACTAACCCTTCAATGTATGGAGCCAAATATATATGTCTTTTTGAGTCACTCATCCATGTTTGCATATATTGTTGGATTCCAACCTTTGTATTTCCAGATTTTTAGATGGATTGAGGCTCAATAAATATGTTTACTTCGGATTTTTCTTGTTCCACACTCAATTTGTCAATGTACCTAAAACAATTAATTATAAGTTGAATATAATTATTATAATCTTAGAAACATAAATGAGAATGACTTACATTGCCCACAATTGTATGATGGAAATGTTTAACATGCAATTTTCCCCAACAATTTCTACAAGCATCGGGCAAGGAAATGTATAATGGAACACTCGGAATTGTCAATTCCAAACACTCTAACATCCCATTGTATCCGACACCGGTCTCTTCCTCAACCGTGGTAATATGGTCAACAACATAGAGATGGGATCATCATCACATTCTGTCAAATACTCATCAATAATAGGTTGTTTTTTATGCTTAGCATGATGCAAGTCCTCCTAAACAAAAGATAACAATTAATTAAACATTTATATAATTATAATACTATAAAAGAGAAAATAGACAATATATATATATATTTATATATATATATATATATATATATATTACCTTGGTCTGTCTGATAGTGGCATAACCAAACGTCTTGGCCAAGCCACGAATGTCCCGCTTGCCTGCTCCACTAATTGAATCTCTTCATTAGGAAAAGGCATCTGGAGCATTAGCATCATGAACTTCATCAACTACTACTCGTGTCCAGTCTGCTGTAGAGGGACACCATGGATGGTTAAACCACCCTCAAAAACTCGACCAATAGCCACTAGACGCGGGGTCATCTTCAACATATAACTCACACTTGGTGTGATGCATCGATCTCGAGTATATTCTCCTGAAGGATCAGCAGCAGTAGCAGCACAACTCCCTTTAGTGCTGACTCGAACAACATCATGTTCAATTGTTTGAGGTGTTCCTTGAGTCTGTTGCTGAGAGCGGGCGAGAGATTCAATTTTCTCATCAAACTCTTGCTGCAAGGACTGCCTTATTTGATTCAACTTTTCTTCAAACTGCATCTCCATTTTATGCAAGGCCTCCTGGCTACAAGAGTCAGTAGTGGTCATTCGTGATGTTGGACCAAAGTAATCACGAAGGCCCCAGGATCCACCAGCACCACGCACACATCCTGAGTAATCTGGTTTTCCTATGGCTGTCGCCAATATATCTTGTCGACCATGAGGAATAAATGATCCTTGGGTGCTCTGCTCAACTAAATCATCCTACAACATATTAACAATAATTAAGTCATACACTAACTTTCACATTAGAATCAATTCAAATTGACATTATAACTTACAATTTTCTGAGCAATGATTCATGCAGACTCAGAAGTCATTTGTCCATCAGATTTTGTCCGGGCTGCCTTCCACATCTCATAGCGAGGGGGTGGAGATGCAAGGTCAGTAGACTCAACTCCTGCTGACTGTTCTCTAGCTTTCATGAGACGTTGCTCCAATAATGCATACTCTCCTCGTGATAACACATGGGGTGCATCATTCAACCTCTGACGTTGTTGGGCAACACGTCTTTTATCCTGCCAAGAGGGGTCCATTCGGCTGGCACAAAACTGTAATCAATCCTCCTCACTAATTTGATACTTTAGACAGGGAGATTCATCTTGAAACTTTCCAAATACATATTCCTGTGTCAAGAAAGTCTTAAAGTCCCTCCATCTAATGGCAATGGAGGATAAAACCTTCTTCCTCATCACCTCAGTGTTAGGAACATCAAAATTTTGCTGTGAAATGACCAATAAATGTTAAATTCAATTAATAATGATATATAAAGTATTCAACAAATATAGAAATACCTGAACATCCTGCCACATGAGGTTCTTCTCGGTTTCCTCTACATCATCCCAAGATGGAGTAGTAATCAGAACATGGTGTCGAGCTAGTAGTCCCAAATAACTCTTAAACTTAGCAGCATTTGGGTCAGATGCCTTACCAGAACGTGGATCAACTTCAACTTGAGTTTTCTCTCTAGATACCCTCCTTGCTGTCAACCCCTTTAACCGAGTGACAGATCTACCTTTACCTCCACTTCCGCTCCTGCCACTGCCACTACCACTACCAGTACCAGATGTGGAATCCGACATATCCTGAAAAACAAAACAATATGAAGTCAACATACTTTATAAGTTTGAATAAAAAGAACTAGAAAATGTGAAGATAAACACCTATTATGTTGGTATGTTTTCCCATATCCCTTCATCATGATCACTTCGAATTGCATGTATGTCATCAACTTCATTGTCAACTATGTCATCAAATGGTCTACTTGAAAATGAAGGTGTTTCATGTATATCTAGAGACTCATCTTCATGCATTCCGTACATGCTTCTTCCTTCAAGGACAATTGACCATCTCTCATTACATGGATCCTTGACATAAAATATTTGTCTCGCTTGATATGCCAAAATAAAAGGTTCATCCTTATACCCAACTTTACTCAAATCAACCAAAGTAAGGTCATCTGTTCGCACACCCGTATTCCCTTCAACCCATTTACACTTGAAGACAGGCACCCTAAAAGTAACATAATCAATTTCTCATATCTCTTGTATGACCCCAAAATAACTCATAGAAGCTGTGATAGGATTTTTGTCTTTAGAACTAGAAAAATGCATAGATTCAGCTTGAATTGTGACCCCACTATTTTGTACTCTACCTTTATCATCTTCTATTTTTGAGTAGAAACAATAATTATTAATGTCATACCCACCAAATGTAATGACATCACTATTAGGTCCACGAGCAAGTCTCAAAAGTGTTTCTGAAACATTAATCTCAACATATACCCTTTTTTTAAACCAAGAAAGGAAACTTTTGTTATGTTCATTCAATATCCATTTTTCATTCATTCGTGGATGTGTTGCCTTTATTTCAGTTATGTGTTGTGATATGTAAGGGATTACTTCATCGGTGTTGTTCAATATGTATAAATGTGTTTGGTCAACTTCTTTCCGACTAACATTTTTAATCTTTAAATTTCGAGTACCCTTACCTTCACATCTTCCATCATGTCTCATCTTAGGAATACCTATTGGTTCTGATTTTGACATGTATCCTAAACAAAACTCAATGGCTTCTTCTGCAATGTACCTTTCCACAATAGAAGCTTCTGGCCTGTACTCGATTCTTCACATATCCTTTTAAGATCTTCATGTATCTCTCAACAGGATGCATCCATCTAAGAAAAATTGGACCACATAACCGAATTTCCCTTACCAAATGGACTATCAAATGCACCATGATATCAAAAAATGAAGGGGGAAAATACATTTCTAACTGGCACACTATTACAATTGCTTCATTTTCTAATTCATCTAACTTTTTTGGATCAATTACCTTTTTACAAATGGCGTTGAAAAACAAACATAACCGAGTAATAGCAATTCTAACAGAAGTTGGTAAGATGTTTCGAATAGCCACTGGTAAAAGTTGTTGCATCAACACATGACAATCATGAGACTTTAAACCAACTAATTTCAACTCTTGCATAGACACAAGACTCTTAACATTTGAGGAGTATCCTTGTGGCACTTTGACCTCACGTAAACTCTCACAAAAGCTTCTCTTTTCTTTCTTTGATAGAGTATGACAAGCTGGAGGTAAGTAAGTGCGTTTTCCAACTAATTGTGGATGTAATTCAGAATGTATACCCATGTCTGCCAAATCTTGTCTTGCTTTTATGTTAAGGAATGTCCCAATTATACTATCACAAACATTTTTTTCAACATGCATCACATCTATATAGTGTCTAACTTCTAACTTACACCAATAAGGAAGATTTAAGAATATAGATTGTTTCTTCCAAATGTTTTTCTCAGTGGATTTCTTTTGGGTCTTTCCAAACACAATATTAATATTTTTCACTTGCTCATATACTTGTTCACCATTGCGTGGTACTGATGCAACTGCATTCTTCTGACATCCATTAAATGTTTTTTTCATTTTACAATATGGATGATTAGCAACTAGAAACTTTCTATGCCTATTGTACGCAGTTTTTTGTCCATGTTTCAATTGGATATAACTTGTGTCTTCTTGACATAAAGGACACGCTAAATGACCTTTCACACTATAACCGCTCAAATTACCATATGCTGGAAAATCATTTATAGTACAAAATAACATTGCACGCAACCTGAAATTCACTTCGTGATATGAATCAAATACATCCACTCTTGTTTCCCACAACATTTTCAAATCATCAATTAAAGGACTAAGATATACATCTATGTCATTTCCTGGTTGTCGAGGTCCTGAAATCATCATAGATAACATCATATATTTCTTCATGCATAACCAAGGAGGCAAATTGTAAATGATCAACAAAACTGACCATGAACTATGTTTACTACTTAAATTTCCATAAGGATTCATCCCATCTGTAACTAATCCAATTCTCAAGTTTCTTGGCTCTGCACCAAATTCTGGAAAGGTTTCATCAATCCTTTTCCATTGTGGAGAATCAGCTGGATGTCGAAGAAGATTGTCACATTTTCTACCATTTGCATGTCATGTCAAGTTTCTTGCATCTTCTTTTATGGCAAATAATCTTTTAAACCTAGGTATAATTGGCAAATACCATAACACCTTAGCAGGGGGACCATCTAGTTCTTCCTCACCACTACTTTCCTCAACTTTGTTTTTGAACCTCGACAAACCACATGTCGGACACATCTTTAATTTAGCAAAATCGTTTCTGTACAATATACAATCATTAGGACATGCATGTATCTTCTTGTACTCTAAACCCATTGGACATAATATTTTCTTTGTCTCATAGTTACGAATAGGTAATGTATTATCTTCAGAAAGCATCTCCTTCAACAACTCCAATAATTCGGTGAAACTTTTATCAGTCCATCCATTTCTTGCTTTTAAAGTAAACAATTTTAAAGTTGCTGATAATCTTGTAAAACTACATCCTATGTACAATTGTTGCGCAAAATCAGATTTTAAAGAATCATATAGACGTGCTTTCATAAAATTTTCTTCACCAATATCACGTATCATATCCTCTAGATTATCATCCATCCCTTCATCAAAATTGTATGTAGTTGACACAGTTGGGATGTCTAATATTTCTCCATGCCATGTCCATATTGTATAACTCTTAATAATACCATAAACAAACAAGTGATCACGTATATCCTCAAGTTTATGACGAATTTGATTCAAACAACGAACACATGGACAATAATATGTCCCTTTCATAGCTTTTCCATTTTCACTAGCAAATTTCAAAAATTCCTCAACTCCCTTTTCGTACTCTTCACTAATACGACGTGCATTCATCCAACTTCGATTCATATTATGTTATAAAGTTTCGTCACTCCTAGAGATTTAAAAATTATATGTAAAAATAAATTAATATACAAACAACAAAGCACGTAAATGGAGTGTGTAAACCGAAAATGCACTCAAACAAATAATTACATTCCAATAACAATCCAGTGGGGACATTCATACAATAACGTGATTGAGATCTCCAAAAATAATCACGGATTCAATTTAAACATATAGCAATGACATAGAACACTAACCTCGAGTGTAGACGAAAAATGATTTCAAACTCGAATCCAATCGGGGAGAAATATCAAGTTCGTCAAATGACACACAATGGTGATGTTTTTCACTGTCAAACTGATCGAAAATGGTGTGCAGAGGTAGTTGTTGTCGTCGTTCTCGTCGTCGTTCTCAAAAACCCTTGCTGCGCAAGACCGGGGAGTGGGCTGGGAGGGAAATAAAAGAGACTTTTTACGTCGCGCACCCCAGCATGCGACGTAAAAGAGGCTTTTTACGTCTCATGCTGAGGTGCGCGACGTAAAAGTTTTGTCTCTTATTTACAAAATTGTCACCGCATTTTATTTACGTCGAATATTTTTACATGCGACGACAATTGGGTGACATAAAAGCCCGTATTTTTTCACTAGTGAAGCCTGTATTAAAAAGGTACATAATACTGTTTGTATATCTTCTGTGTACTCCTTCGTTGTAAGAGTCTACTTATTATTTGGGAAGTTTCAATAATTGAATAGTTAAATCTTAGGTTCTTAAATTGAAGTCTACCATGAATCAGATCAAAACGGCTGGAAAATATCTCTCTTCCAAAATTCCAAAACTTTTCATATTAGTATATTAAAGAATTGAATATAATACTTTTCCTATCTGTGGATTTCTTTTTCGTAGCCTACACCCAACTGGCACTGCCTGGCACTGGGTCAAAGTGGAGTGGATATGATTTGGCGTGGAGAATTTCAGAGAAACCTCTTACACAACTTGAAACTTCTTACTCTCTGCTGTTGGAATACGAAATTCTACAGCATGTGCCCAATATAGAGAAGCTTGTGGTGTGTGATGGTTCCTTCAAGGAGATCTTCTTTGGAAGTCCTAGTAATGTAGATTACAGTGGACTCTTAACACAGTTCAAAGTATTACACTTGGAGTCCCTTAGAGAGTTGGTTTCTGTTGGGTTAAACTTGGTAGCATCCAATCTGACTCATTTGAAAGTAAAAAGTTGCCATAAGCTGTCATATTTGTTCACATCCTCAACCGCCAAAAGTTTGGGTCAACTGAAAAGAATGGAGATAATAAGGTGTGAATCAATTGAAGAGATAGTGTCTAAGGAGGCGGAGGAATCAGAGGAGGATGAGATAACATTTCCGCAGCTCAGTTATTTGATTCTTCAAAGTTTATGGGATATGAGAAGGTTCTACGAAGGGAATTTAAGTTTTCCGGCATTGGAGGAATTGTCAGTAAGATATTGCAACAGGCTGATAACTTTATGTGCAGGTACAGTAAAAGCAGAGAAGTTGTCCCGTGTGAAATTTAAGGACGTAGATGACGATGGTGAGTTGTCAAAGGGTATTCCATTGGAAACTGATGTCAACTCTACTATGCGGAAGGAATTTACGAGAGAGGTACGTGTTTAATATTTTGGATTCAACATTTTTATTATTCTTGTCAGTCATTTTAATTTGTTAATTTGCAAAATTTCTCTTACATAACTTTTTCTTTTTAATTTTATTTAAACTATTTTATATATATATAAAAGTTCATCCAACTTGTTTTTTATTTTTTTTATAGCAATTTTTATGAATAAGCTGTTCAAACAAATTTTAAATAACTTCAACAATGAGATAGACTAGAATGTTAAATATTTTTATTTTAAAATAAGATTTAAAATTACTAAATAAAACTTTGGCTCATGTGATGCTATAAATTTTAATAAATAACTACTTTTTATATTCTCTCATATTACATTAAACGGTATTTACTTTTTTTTAATTTAAAATAAATCTTTATAATATTAATAAAATAATATTAAAAACTTAATAAAAATTACATTAAATGATATTTAGTTTCATTTCTTATATTTTTAATAAAATATTATTATATTTTTTATACTTTTAATAATTCATCGTCTTTATTTTATTTAAAAATAATATATTCATTTAAAACTAAATAAATATACCAAAAATTATGTTTTATTTTTCAAAATACAAATAATCAATAAATCTTTTCAACAAAAAACTAAATAATTTAATTATAAAAAAATTACATCATGTCTCTTAAAAAAATATAATTTTAAAATAAATTATAGAATATGTTGATAAAAAAATAGAATAAATGTCCAAGATTGAATTAGTTCACACCCGCCATTTTGAAGTTGTGGAAAAGTGATCTGGTAAAGCAACCTATAAATATGTGTATTTAGTAAAATCATTAGTTAAAGGAAACTATAAATATAAATGATAGAATTGAATATTTTTATATATAATTTTAGTTTTAATTTTTTTTTACTTAAATAGTTTTTAATTTCATGTTTTTAAAGTATTTTTAATTATACTTTAAAATTTGTTTACTAAACATTAACAACAAGGTCACAGAAAGATAATAAAATAACGAAAAAATCGTTAAAAAGGCGTTTCAAACATAACTTAATGTAATAAAATAAAGAAATCAAATTAAAATTAAGTGTAGATATAATTTTACTTTAGTTGGTCTCTTAACAAAAAAAGTTGAATTTTTAAAGAAATATTTATTATTTAGATTCCTAAAAAAAAAAAGAAAAATCCTTGTTCAAAGTTTGATAGGACATAATAATTTATGATGGTTTTAAAAACTTTATAATTCAATTAAAAGAACCACATAATAAAAAAAATAGTGTGATATTTTTTTATAATCAGCTTCTATTGTGAAATTGAATAGAAAATTGTATTTGTTAGTGAAAGTTGAAAGTGGAAACAACTTTCAAAATGTTGCGAAAATTAAATAAAAAATTTAAACCTAACTCATTTTCACTTTTTTACAAAGTCATGAAATTGAAATTTGAAATAAAAGATAATTTGAAAAGAAAAATGACCAAAATTGATCAAGACATTTCTGAATAATTCTTATTTTTATTTATTTGTTTACATGTGTTGATTTCGGAAGGCTGCGTATTTGGAATGGCGTCTTGAATTCATAGATAGAGCAGACCTACAAGAGATATGGATTGTGGCACTGCAGATCCCTGACCTTCGCTTCACATACTTGAAGACCTTGATTGTGGACGGGTGCAGATTTTTATCCCATGTACTTCCCTTCAGTTTACTTCCTTTATTACCTGTATTGGAAACATTGGAAGTTCGAAACTGTGATGATGTGAAAACCATATTTGATGTCAAATGTATAACACAAGACACAGAAATGGCATCTATGGGACCAACCCTCCGACTTTCCCTCAAGTATTTGATTTTATCCAGGCTATCAAAGCTAGAGAATGTTTGGAATGAAGATCCTGATGGAATTCTAAGCATGCACCATCTACAACAAATACATATTGAAGGTTGTGATGGCCTTACAAGTGTGTTTCCGGCATCAGTAGCCAAAGATGTTGTGAAACTTGATGAACTAGTTGTGAATGACTGTAAGGGATTGATGACAATTGTAGCAGAGGATAATAATACAGATCCAAGCGGAACAAAAGGAGAGCTCACATTCTCCTGTCCCTGTGTGAGGTCATTGGAACTACGGGGTTTGCCCAACTTCAAGTGTTTTTACTACTGCTCACGGCAATGTGACATTTTTACGAATCTAGAATCATACACCGAGAATCAAATCCGTACTGAAAAGGTATTATTTGTTTTAGCATTTTGTCCTTGCTGCATAATCTCGACAAGTGTCTGCAAATGGAGATAATTATGTTGTGAAGGATAATGTATGCTGCACACTAAAACACTCCACTCCAGCATATTAGAAGTTCTGCTTATTCATCACCTTTAACAGAGCTGTATCTTTAGTTGTCCTAACTTGCTTTCCCATTACTATTGATTTCTCTTTACAGTGCCTGTCAGTGGGTGCAAATGGAGTGGATATGATTTTGCATCCAGAATTTCAGAGAATCCTCTTAGACAACTTAAAAGTTCTTACTCTCTGCTGTTGGATTGAGTCGGATGTATTTCCATATGAAATTCTACAACTGGTGCCCAATATAGAGAAGCTTGTGGTATGTGATGGTTCTTTCAAGGAGATATTCTGTGGAAGTGGTAATAAAGTGAATTATAGTAGACTTCTACTACATCTCAAAGTATTACACTTGGAGTCCCTTGGAGATCTGGTTTCCATTGGGTTAAACTTGGTAGCATCCAATCTGACATATTTGAAAGTAGAAAGTTGCAATAAGCTGTCATATTTGTTCACATCCTCAACAGCCAAAAGTTTGGTTCAACTCAAAAGAATGGAGATAATGAACTGTAAATCAATTGAAGAGATAGTGTCCACTACAAAAAACTTGATAATTATTAGAGGTTTATTTGCAGCAGTTATAAAAATCGTAAAAATTAAATGTAATTTATAACAAAAAATTTAACTGACACAATAATTATAATTAATTTTAAATTTTTTTATTTTATTTTTATTTATTTTCATTTTTCATTCTCTCACTTTCTTCTATCTTCTCTTTCTCTCTCTTCGTTATCTCTTTCTCTCTTTACCATTTCATTCATTTTCACACTCATCTGTAACGTTTCATCCTTTACTGCAAGATCACGTATCCTCTCTCAATCACCAATTCAGGTTTAATCCTTCTTACGTTTTACTTTTCAATTTCACATGTTTGTGATTTTTGTAGAAAATTACAAAAGTTTTATCTATCATTTATTCTTCAATTTACATTATATGCTAATTTCTCTTTCTCTTCTTCTATGTGACGCGTGACAATCTACATTCAACCGTTTTTTTGTTTTTCCTTAACCTTGGGTACGAAACTTTTAATATCATTTTTTGTTTTTGGTCTCCAATCTCTCCGGACACTCGGACGGCGTTGCCGCTTCGGAGCTAACGCCGGAGGGGCGACGATGTCGGTGCTCGCTGCGATGCAGTTGCTGCAGCCGGCGGAGCCGTTTCCTCCGCGGCGCCCGGTGCGGAGGGGATTGGAGGGTCCGGCGGTGGGGGATTGGTTTCGGGCACTTCCGCCATTGTGGTCACAGTGGCAGTGGCGTGTGGCAGTGGCGGAGTGCGCAGATAAGGGAGACGGGGAGTTTTCTGGTGCGGTAGGGTGCAAGGGTACAATTACCTCTAAGATTTTGCGCCGTTGGATAGTTATTACGCGGTTTTTGGTCCTTGGTCCTGCATCCAGTTTCCTCGTTTGAGTTTGTATTTTTAGTGCCTGTGAGAATGAGTGCCCCGCATCTTCTTCTCTATGTACTCTGTCTGTTTCCTGTTCTGTTTTTCTTTTCTTTTTTCTGGTCTAAACTTTTATGATTCTGGTCATCGCTTTGAGCATTCACAACTTTTGTTAGTGCTTTTGCATTCCCTTCCATTTGTCTTTGTTAATATAGACACTCCTTCGGCTTCATGATGCTTGAATGAATAACAGGATTGTTGCATTTTGTGACTGGAATTTATTTTTCTTTCACTTGAGGACTTTTGAGCAGAGTAGTTAATTGCAGGCACGTAGATTGGTATCTTGCTGTGTGGCACCATGGTGCCAGCATTCCTGCAGCTGTTGTGGCCACTACTGTCAACAGTTTAGCTGGGAAAGAGGTATCTTTTATGCCACTGTAGCTGCATTGGCAATTCATGCTTCTACTTTTAGTTAATCGCTAGGGATGATAGAAAATGAGGATGAATGTTTGCAGTACCAAGTTACCTATGAATGAACTGTTAGTACCTTGCTTTGGATTACCTGAGATTGAGTATTTTCATTTATTGCCAATCGGGTGAAATAATTGGGTGATTTTGGAGTCGGTATATTAAGGATCTTGATAAAGGAAAGATACTTAATTCTATTTGTTATCAGTGTGTATTGCATCCTATACTCATTTTATTTCTGATCATCACCAATACCTACAAAGAATGGGGATTTGCTGCTGGATATGAACTCAATTGGTGCAATATTAATGATAGGCTATCATTCTTTTACCTGAAAATTTTGGACCCCTCCCACAACCAAGGGCAGAAAATAATGGGTTTGCATCAGATTTCATAGTGGTGGTGGTCCCTTTCAAAACTCCCTTTGTTTTCACTCAAGCTTAGCTTCTTCAAGGTTCACACCAAAAAACAAATAAAAGCTTCCTCGAGGTACCATCTTTGCTTCAAATACTTGTTGTATCTTTTTAAATTTTTAATAGTTACTGTTATCAGTGAAGAATTTTCTGCACACCAAAGTACATGCATACACACAGTTTCATCGGTGGATCCACTCCACTCACTGTCATCAAAGATGCCTAAGAAATAATTGTCAATTCATATTCTCATAGTGGTTTCTAGTAGCTAGTAATTTTGATACTGACCTATGCCCTGTAAACTAATAACACGTTAAAACCACTCTTTTCTACTCACACCATTTACTTTCCATTCGGTCAACAGATATATTATTTTTTATTCTCTCCTTTGGTTCCTCATTTTTCAAAAGCAATAATATAAATATTAAAATGGTTTTTTTAAGAAGCCTAAAAAATATAAATTCAAAAATCTTTTAAAAATTTTATTTTACTGATAATAAATAACACTAAATGGACTTGTTTGGAAATTTTTATTTTAAAAATGTGAAAATCGGTCAACTTGTACTATATAATTTTAGTACGATTTGGTCATTTTGTTTAATTTTGATCTACACCCTTTCCATTGTCAACTACAGGTCCCTTTTCTAACCCGTTAAAATCTCAGCTTTTGTTAGGCTCAGAGAAGAACAGAGTGAGGTAAAAATAAATAAATAAATAGAAATAAAATTATTTAAGTTAATAAAATAGGAAAAATTAGTAAAAAAATATATATTTGATTTGATTGATTTAAAATATTTATTTAATATATAATTAAATAAATAGAATGAGTTTGTGGATAAGAAAAGAAAAATCCAAACATTCACATTCTTTACTTTCGGTATGAGCTCTTGTCGTAATGCAACATTTTAAATTTGTGTAATTGGAATTCAAACTTTAATCCAAGTTTGAAAATTTTAATGAATAATTGTACAATTGAATACTTTGCCCGACAAATTGGAAACAAGTATCAGAGAAAATCCATACCCCTTTATTGCAGATTTTTTTTTTTTTACAATAATACATGTTTTCTAAGCATTAACGAAATCAGCAGAAGTAGAACTTTCTAGACACCCACTTTCTTCAGGTTTTTCCTTTTCTATTTTCTTATTGGTTTGTACATTTTGAATTTATAATTTATTATGCTAATATCAGCTGCTAATCAACGTCAGATTTTTCAATTTTATGAAACATTCTTTGACTGGTGTCATTCCCGAATCTCTCAATCAATCTAATATAGTTGTAAGTACTTTATAGTTTGTTTTAAATGAAATTATATTATTCAATACCTGTATAAATATAGTTGTAAGTACTTTATAGTTTGTTTTAAATGAAATTATATTATTCAATACCTGTATAAAGTTCAATATCTTATGTATAATTTCTAATTATGCTTACATGATATGATCTTTATTTTATAGGATGAAGAGAGTGGACAAGATATGTCAACACCACAAGGAGAATCTTCTTTAGATAGTAATTTTCATAAAGTTTGACATTATTTGTAAGTATTTCATATTTTGTGTTAATAGAATTATGTTGTTAATTATTTCTATGGAGTTTAATATCTTTTATATATATTTTTAACTATATTAAGATGATATTATTTTTATTTCACAGGATGAAGCAAGTGAATGAAATATGTCAATATCATAGGAGGATACTCATTAGATAGTAATTTTCATTAAGTTTGACATATATGTTATGAAATTTGTGGATCTATTGACATCGTATTTTGTTAGATACACTTTATTAATGAATAATGTGATGAATTTTATTGGACTTTTAGGATGAAATTTGATTTTATCTTAGTTGATATTGAATTATATTTAGCTAAGTACTCTGTCAAAGTGAATTATATCTAAAAACTACAAATTTAATCATTTTTTAGTGAGAATCAAACTAATATTTTATGTCATTAAAACAAATGAAAAATATATTATACATTTAATTAGATTATTGATTTTATTATAATGATTAAATTATTATTACACTTATGGTGGTATTTTAAAGTAATTCTAAATAAAAAAGTATTTTAATTATTAATTATAAAATTATTAAAAAATAATTTGTAAATAATAATTAAAATTTTGATTTATTGATAAAATAATTAAAAAATAGTAATTAAATAATTTTTGGTGGTTTTTTAAACCTCCAATAAGTTTTAAATAATTATAAAATATTATATATTTTGTAGCGGTTTTTAATTGTTGAAATATAAAATTAATTATAAAAATAACATTTGTAACAATTTCAAATTGCAACAAAATGTTAAATTAAAATGAGAATAATAATGTATTTTATGGCGGTTTTTAACTGTTGAAATTTTTGTTTTTCTTTTTTGACATAAATACCAGCATTTAAAAAAATTCTGTTACAAATCGTTTTTGACATCTATAAATATGACAGTTATATTAATTGTTACAAATTTTATTTGTAGCGGTTTTTAACTTCTAAAATCTATAATTTTAACCGCTATAAATAACATATTTTTTTTGTAGTGGTCTAAGGAGGGGATGAATCAAATGAAGATGAAGAAATAATATTTGAGCGGCTCCAGGTTTTGTATATGAAAGAATTGGATGAACTGAAGTGGTTTTACCCTGGCAATAATTTCACTTTACGTTTTCCATCCTTGGAGGAAGTGTTCGTCATCAACTGCGACTCCATGAAAACTTTCAGTGCAGTCAACAAAATAGATCATTCCACAAAATGGTATTCTGAAGAAGACGCAACACCTCAACAGGAATCTGATCTTAATTCTGCTTTGCGCAGGACGTTTGAAGAAAAGGTACTTATATTTTTACGTCCTAACCTTTTTATAAACAACTATGATAATAAGGAATAAAGATATATAGTTTGACATTTTTTGAAAATATAAATATATAAAAATCGGACAAAGATCGTCATATAAGGAATCCACCATCGAATAATCTTCTCATAAGTTGGTGTTGAAAATCCAAATGTGTCAGAATAATTTATAACCGACAACAACTCGTAATCTATAATGGCTTGGGTTGAAGTTAGTATTTATAAATCAAATAACTCTGATTTTTTCTAGAACAATTTATAATTTGATTTATCATTTTCATTAAAAATACTATACATTTTCTTTTGGAGGTAGTTATTGCTTTGAATTCAGAACGTAGTTTTTAACGTAATGTGTTTTCCAATTGCATCATGTTAAGTTTTACATATTCCTTTTGTTTTAAATAGACTCCAGATTCAAGTGCCGTCATTTGTGTTCTTCAAACTTCAGATACTGATGAAGATAGTAAACATGGTACATAAAATATTAACCAATTCATACTAAAATTTTGAACTTTTTGTGGTGAATCATACATCAAAATTGTGTTTTATGCGACTTGCAGGCGGTGATTAGGAGCAGTTAGTTCTTCACATAACATGCTGATTACGTCTGATTAAGTAAGCAATTTTATGTTAGTCTCATTTATGTTTGTTGATGTCTATTTAACTGGATATTTCTTTTACTTCTTTTATAATTAAATTCAGAATTTTTCTTAATTACTGAGTTCCCGACTCCAATATTGCAGTAAATAAGGCGAGATTGAAGCATAAATAGTGGATGAAGATGAATGTGAGCTTATTCTATTATCTATGTTTGTGTGTTTAAAATAAAATAAAATCGTGTTGTTGTACCTGGTTGATGATGAAATACGTTACTCTATTTTATATGTTTCGTAATGTGTGAAGTGTAATATGAAATAAAGGTGAAGTGATGAACTGTGTCACTAATATTGACTATATTATTTTGTTATGCTATGGAAAAGCAACGACCTCGGAAATATAGTTTGCGGATGTTGATTTTGAAGAGAGAGTTAAGGTAACATATAGTATTCAAAACATTAGAGATGTTTCTGTGAATGAATAATAAACCAACACATGAGTAAGTTTAATCACATCATCTTCTTTTCTCTCAAAAATTTGAGAGAAGACGATAAGATATAAAATGGAAATGGATAAATAAATGTTATAAAGATGAAAAATTATAAATATAAACAACATATATAGAATGCTAGATATATAATGAGAAATTGACTAAATATAATAAAATAAAAAGTTAATTACCTACATACTTTAAAATATTGGGAAAGAGAATATTAAACGGTGAAAGTAACAATATAGTGATAATGTTAGATTTCAATGGCTCATGTTATGCAATGGTATTATGTATAGTAAATGACCATAATAACATATTCCATAAAATTAATATTCAAATCAGCACACCCCAACACAAAAATAATAAAAACAATAATATAATTCTCATTAAGTATGATAATGAGCATTTATATATATATATATATATATATATATATATATATATATATATATATATATAAAGATAGATAGATATTTATAATTTAATAAAAATATAACAATTGAAATTTTATAGTAACTTCGTAAAAGAGTATTTAAAATATTAATAAAAAATTTATGATTTTCTTTCTTTAGGAATAATATTGATTATATTATAGAATAAAAGTTGTATTTCATTGCAAAATTAATTTTTTTATATATCTATTAAGAGTAATAAAGTCATTTTTATTTTAATTTTCATGTGTTGTTATATTTTTTAATTTATATTCTCATAAATACTTATTTCTAATTATTTTTAATGATATTTAACTGGTTATAGGTGATATTTTCAATTCAATCTAATAAAATTATCATTTCAGTTAATATAATTTATTGAATTCGGATAAATTAAATTTTATACGTTTTTATAACTTCAAACATTATTTTTGTTATGTCACCTATTTTTTATTTTAAAATTTTAGTATTCTTTTAATATTTTAATTTAACTATTTTTTAGAATTTCTTGATATAATTATTTACTATATAATAATAATAATAATAACTATTATTATTATTATTATTATATATATGTTAAAAAAATTAAATTATATTTCCGTCACAAAAACTTAACTTCTAGATTATAACAGAATTTGTGATGAATTTTATAACTGATAATTTATAACAAATGTTATGTCAAACACAAGTCATTTGGTTTAGTTGAAAGCGAGACTTTATTCACATAAAGCCACAATTTTTTTTATAACAACTTAAAGCGAGTAAATGTATTGTGAAATTTGTGACATCTCATTGGAGATGAATTTTATTTATCACAAATGTGCACTAATGATTCATTTTTACTTACTTTTGTGACAATTTTTAGGGACGATAATTTTTATCACAAAATACATTTAAAAATAGTTCCTCACAAATATAATATTTATATTATAAATTGTGATGGAATCGTTTCTGTCACAAAATTCATAAAAAAACTCAAGTTTTTTAGTAATATGATTAGATAATCGTACCAAAATCAAACATTTATAGTAGAAGGTAAACAATAATAATCCTTAGTTAAATAATAAAAAATATAATTACATGAAAGTATATCGAATTATATCCACCAAATAATGAAATCAGTTACAAAGTATAATATTTTGATATAGAATCAATGGAATTAGCATCAATGCCACCAAGAGCTTTCTACCTATAATCAAAATCAAAATATCTGAAATTTCTAAGAATTTATCTTTTTATAGGCATTAGGTATTTCTTGTAATTATTTATTTTTTAATAGAAGGGGTTAAATTACCTTAAAAAATAGTTAATTTAAGCGTTTACAAAACACCTTAAACTTTATTATGGGATCTCGCTTAAACTATCTAAAATATGTAGTTTAAGTTCTTAAACAATACTTCATGTAATCTTTTCAAGGAGGAACCCTTGGGCAGTCAAATTTAAGACAACTTAATATCAATGAAAATTCCTAATTCTTTTTCAGTTTGATTCTTCAATCACTAGTTTCAAAAACTAACCAAGATCAATTGCAAAATATATGTCATAACATAAAAATAAATATTTAATCAAAACTTATAAATGAGTACAATTAAAGTTAAAAAGTACAATAAATATTCAAATAAATACATCTAAAATATTCCAAAAATATATATAAATGACTATTATCAATACAAAAAAAATATATAATTAGCTTTCAGATCAAATGGGTTCTTAGAACATAGAAAAACATTGTTTACGCAATTCTTTTATTCATTTTAATACACTAATTAAATTATACATATAATTTAAACAAATTAAAGGAATTTATCATAAAAATATAGTGAAATGTTAAGTAATGTGTATTACTCTATATTTGGCTAATCTGATTCTTCATTCAAGAAATCTAATAATAATACTTTTTTTATATACATGAGCTAATGATTATTTTAAAACTGCGTTGGTAATATATATTCATTTTCTCCTTGAGGTTGTGGTTGAGAATACCTCAGAAAGAATAACTACCCAACAATTATGGACCTTTACATAATAGTCGCACAATACTCATCATTGGCAGGAAAAGTCAATGCAAAAGTGCTACCATATTTATCACAACCAATTACCAACTTAATCAAATTACATGGACACAAAAAATGTTATTGAAACCAATTGATTTCACATTAACAAAGGTATGGCTAACAATTATAAACTTCGACAAATCTTACAAACTCTTAATCTACACTTTCACTATATACTTGGGAAGAACTTTCCTTCCTTTTCACAGAGCATTTGTTAGTTAAGATTCCTCCAAAATGCACCAACCAGTTCCTCTACCTCCAAAGAAAAAGTTCCTATTGTCTACAGTGAAAAGGGTGAGTCAGCTACCACCAGTGGCAGTGTCACCATTATTGGCCAGTGGCCACCGATCAATGCTACTACCAGCTATAAAGGGATCAGTGGCAGACCCTGTCAGCTCCTCCAACCCTTCGAAGAAATCATCTGTTATCATTGTTTCTGTTAAGTCAAATTCATTTGGTTCTTCATCATCTTTCATCAGATCTTCCATGTCTTCTTCTGTGCTCTCTGACTTTGTACTGTGTTGTGCCACCTCTGATGAGGTGGCTGGAGAAAATGGTTTGGTGACTGCGTCTTCACCAGACTGAGGTTTGTGGCGCGTGGAGCCAGCAAGGGAGTTTTTATGAGTAGGAGCAGGGTGGTTGTGTTCACCTGTGTATGTGAGTACGAACATTGTTGGGTCAGATCTGTTCCTCTCCACTTGTTTCCTAGCTAAACATCCTTTTGAGCTGCTACATCTATAATATCCCCTTCAGATCATACAATAAACAAAGCTTCGTTAATCCTTTTAAATTTTTCTCCTAAAAAACAAAAAAGACAAAAATCTAACAAAGTCAAAATATGGCTTCTTACAAATTGTATATTCAAGTTTTCATTCCTATCTTTGTGATAAGGTAAATATATAGTTATATAAAGTTTTGTTTGAGTTTAAAAGTTTTTTTTTTAGACTAGGAATTACCTCCTCCACTAATCTTTTTATTATAAAAAAGACTGAAAACTTTAAAGGTAAACCTTGGATATGGTGACCCTTTGATGGGTTTCTGTCCATATTTCCTCCAAGCCCACATGTCTGAAGAGAGGTTTTCAGCTGACACTTCACAAACCTTCTTAAGCTGGTTCTTCCTGATAAAAACACACATGCATTTTCACACTCAAGTTATTAATGAACAGAATACATGGTTATTAAGTGCTAAATAAATCCAGGTTCTTTCTGGTTTTGTAGAATCTAATTTTGGTCCTATGAAATTGTAAAATGAAAAAATAAACACACACACACACACACACACACATATATATATATATATAACCTTCTTTTGGGTCTTGGAGAGGAGGAAGAACCAGCATGATGAGGCTGTTTCTGTTCTTGCTGTCTGCTAGGTGATTTGGATACTGATGAGTATGAAAAGGACGAGAGAGGAGAAGCGGGTTGAAAGGTCTGAGTCTGTGGCTTCGAGACTGATGAATAAGAAAAGGAAGAGAGAGAAGAAACAGGTTGAAAGGTCTGAGGCTGTGATTTAAGGAAGAAAGGCTTGTAAAGCTGCTGAAGCTCTTCAACGGAAGAAGTCCTTGCTTCATAGGGATTCTCCAAAGGAGACAAAACTTGGTCTGCTTGTACAGCAGGATTGTAAACAGAGAAGAAGTTGCAGGAAGTAGAAGGTTGGGTACAAGCCCCAAAGCCAGAGGAAGAAATACAGGATGAGGTGGTGGATGGGGTAGTGGCGGCCGCTGAGGAAGTGGTGGTGCAGCTTCTGACGAGGGCGTGGAGATCCCAATCTACGTCCATAACAGTATGAGAGAGAAAAAAAAAGCGTTGACCTTTGTTGACGAAACAAAGAAAGATAAGATGCTACAAGTAGTAAAAGACATGTATATATATAGATAGAGAGGAGAAAGTGGACATTTAACAAAAGTCTACTCAAACAAAAAAGCTTTTGTCTCATCCCAATTTTAAAAACACTACTTTCTCATTAAATTAGATAATGAGTATATATATAATAAATAGGTTGAAAGAAGAATATTATATTATTTTAAAATAACATTACAATGTAACAAAAGAACATGTAACTATTAGTTATTTCCAGAGAGAGATGACAGATGGTGAATTTGGTATCTCTATGTGGTAATATGTTTTTTGATTTGTGAGTGTGTGTTTTTTCTTTCTCCCATGTTATATTATTGTTTTAGGAAACTAAATTGGGTTTTTTTGGGTTGACATTTTGAAATGTCAAAGGTGGTGAGACATTTGGGTTTGGATCTAGGTAAGGTATCACACCTCACACATACGAATCCTTCCTCCTAGGGATTGTGACTGTCGAATTAATTCATATGCAGACAAAAATAATTAAATATTAACGTTGGTGCCAGTACACACAAAACAAAATAGTAGAAAGTTCTTGAGACCTTCGCCGAGTCCATTTATCATCCACGCTTACCTCTATGTTATATTTGAATAAGAAATGAGAGTGAGAAAAAAAAAAAAAACAGATAATACTATAACATGAGTTCTACTAAAATTTAAGAATATTAACTAAATATTAGAAAAAAATATGTATTTCTTTGTAATTTACTTGTTCTTGAGTTTCTAAAAATATTAATTAGCTTGTCATCATTTTTTTCCTTATAGATTAACTTCCTTCGTCACGTTCATTCATATGAAGTTTAGAATTTCCCACCAAAAGAGTCATAATAAAATTAGAATACAATAATATAACTTAACCTTTTGTATGTTTTTATAATATAATTTGGGTTCAATGCGTTCATAATTATATTAAAAGTAAAATAGATTTATATTATTAATTAATCAATAATTATTAATATAATTATAAATTTAATAAAGTTATTATAAAGTAATAGTAATTTTTATTTTACATTATATAATTTATATATAGTTTAATATGAGTTAAAATAGTTTACCAATATTAAGATTTTATATTAGTAGATAAAAAATATATAGTTTTGTACTATTATATAATTAAACAGTATAATTTGATTCAAATTTTATAAACTTTATGTTGTGAGTAATTAAGTATATAGTTAAACCGAAATTTTCATTAAAGTACTTCAATTAAATGATATGTGATTCTATATACACAAGATATGAAGCTGTCTTAAAAATAAATTAAAAAATAATGATGCTCTTTATAAGATAAATTCACATGAATCTATAATTAGTATAAATCGTTGAACATCTTTTAAATATTATTTTGATAATATTTAACTACTCTCTTGTCCTAAAAGCAAAGTTACATGTGTTATTATTCCACGCTGCATGATAAATAAGATCAAAATATAATATTTTCTCATAGCATTTTGTTTTTTCTTTTTCTTGCAAAAATTAATCAACTAATTAGTGCATATTTATATATTAATACTTTTATCCATATTCTAATATTATATTACTTAAATGTCTCTTTTGAGAAGATTGTTTAACTACATGAGACTAATCAACTTGTGCAGTTTTGTGCTACATGATACTTCAGATGCAAAAGTTACCAAAGGAAGAACTTTGATTGAGAGTGAAACATTTATATGTTGAAACCTTTGCTCAAACTTTTCTGAAGGAGGGATATTTCTTCGGGCGCACTGCTTTAGAAACTGTTAGCCGTTCATTTTTCTTGAATGGCTAAAGGATATATCGGTGCTGTATTCTGTATTCATACCGTTGCTTGAGAATTTCTAGGTCATCTATTTTCCTCGAAGAGCTAAAGGAAATAATGGTGCGTTTAATTTCTTAACGGTTGAGAAATTGTTAGCCATTCATTTTCTGTCTCCATGACCACTGAACCGAGGTGGGTTTCATGTTATTTCGGATTTTTTTTTTTCCTTTAAACCATGCGCCATATAACAACAAAGATGAAGATTACAAAAATAAGGACCAAATAATAAACGTTCATACTGTGCTATTAACTTTTTTTACATTCATATTGAGCTTTAGAAATTGAAATGATTTCATGGGTATATAAAACTCGTTAATAAGTGTTTTTAGAATTATTAATAGATACTATAATTACTTTCCTTTCAATTTCTTGAACTACTAATAAAGTGTTTTTTTTATTATTATTGTTATTAACTACCCTTCCGTAATAGTTTATTTCAATCTTTTTACAACTTTTAAGTATTATTTTGAACCTACTTGTTCATCCCCTAATTTTTTTTAGTCAGAGATCTCTCTAAACTTTTTTACATATATTTTTAAGTTTTTATGTAAATATTATAAAGATAGTATTTTTTTATTTCATAAAATAGTTATAAAGTTGTTTACTTTATTTTTATTTTACAATAAATATTTCAAATTTAATTAATTAAATTTTAAAATTAAATACAAATTAAAGGTATAAGTGAAAAAAAAAAGTTAACATTATATTAATTTTAAAAATCAATGAATTAATAAAAGATATTCTTAAAAAAAAACTTAGAGAAACAACATATAAACTAATAGGTTTTCTAACATTATATTATTTTTGTGAATTGGGTTGTTAGGTTTTATCTTTAACATGACCCATATACAGTAAATTCTATAAATAAATAAATTTAGATGAAATAATTAAATATTACAATTTATATATTCACTAAAATTAAAATAAATTTTTTTTAATATCCAAATTAAAATTACGTTTATTTAATTGATTTTAATCTAATTATTTTGACAACAAAACTCATAGTCACTAAATGAGACCCTTGTGAATATATATATATATATATATATATATATATATATATATATATATATATTCCTCTTAATTAAATCCTGATTATATTAATTTTTCTTTTTAAGAATGAAAAAGTTACATAATTACGTTATTTGTCCCTAACTACTAGCAATAGTTTAAATGAGAAGAATATGGACCAAGAGACAGTTTCTAGAACGATGGAATGAATAGAAGCTAAGGTTTGTGAGAACCAAGTGTGTGACAACAATCCCACTTTGTATCGTATCTTAGTTCAAAGTTTTGGGATTCCCTTCAATAATTTATTTTTATTAATTTATTGAATGCGATGCCTGAAAGAATAAAAAAAATTAAAATAGAAAATAGTGATATTCAGAGTGGAGACAAAATAAACAGAAAAATAAAAAAAATAATCAAAAGTTTATAAATTTATGTAATTGATTAAGAATAAAAAATAAATATATTATTTATATCACAGTTTATGTTAATTTAAATCAAAGTTTCATTGGTAAAAAATATGAAATCAAATAAGTCAGAGTATTTAGAATATAAAACTAAAGTCAAGTGATCTTTTATAAATCTTACCTTCTGATATATAAAAGTTAATATTTCAAGTTACATCTATCTTTTCTTTTATTTCAACTTTAATCACTTGAAACAAACAATCCTGGATCCAAATACAACATACAAATTTAACATAAAATTACTTGTTTGAAGGAGAGGTATTTTGTTCTGCCATAAAGTGTCAATGTGACTCAATGGATCCACAACATTTTTTTTCTATCAAAAGTTAAATTTTGTCTAATTTAATCTGTTTATTAAAAATTAGAAGTTTCTGTTTGTCTAAAATAAATAGTCATAAATGTCAAGATTTAAGTTTTAAATTTCATAATAAAATAATATAATTTTAAATTTTAAAAAGTTAAAGATGTGGATTAAGAGTGACTCACTATTATTAATTTATATATAGAATTATATAAGTTAGGATTCATAAGATATCATGATAGACTCATTTCACAGGTCACACATGAAACATTGCTCTCGATATCATCTAATGTGACACATTTTTTATTATTATTTATATAAGAGTAGCGAGGTCAAATAATATTACATATATGTAAAAGTAATTTACATCATTATATATGTATAAGATATACAAAAGAAGAAAGAATTTTATTTTTGATTTCTTCTTTTTTTTACAATTATACAAATATCTACGTTGTTGGTGGAAACAAATTGATTAAAGGGTTTTGGTAAAAGGTAGGAGACATACAAAAGGTAATTACTACTGGTCTATCTAACATAATGAGATTTCTCATATTAGATGCAAATGTTATTATTGATAATCATGTCTCTTTAAAAGTAACTAAGTTGTCTACAACGTTCGTATTCTAAGTAGTTCTTGGAAAGAAGGCAAGAATGCTTGCGTAAAATGGATTTAGAATATTTGGCGCCTCCATCTACTTAAGTTGGTATTTCAATAAAACATGCACAAAATATCACAATAGGGAGTGAGAATATTTATCATTTACAATAATACAATCTTATAATATATATATATATATATATATATATATATATATATATATATATATATATTTCAACTTCCTCAACACATTCTATTTTATGAAGATTTAAATTAAATTTGTAGTGACTAGCCAGGATAAATGAGCCCAATTTTAATCACCCTCCCAATGATATTTACTCATTTAAATCCCCAAGGTCCAACATCCATCTACAATATCATCAAATCTTCACAAATAGATATTATTATAAAAAATTAATTAAATAATATAACTATAAATTAATAAATAGGATCGATGCATTACTAGAGATAAAATAAAGTAAACAAATATGACCAAGTACATAGTTGGAGATAATTAAAATGGGACCAGTGCAAGATTGGAGATAAAGTAGAATAAACAAACAGAATCATTACATAACTGGAGATAATTAAAATAGGATCAGTGCAAGACTGGAGATAAAGTAGAATAAACAAACATGACCAATATATAACTGGAGATAATTAAAAAAGGATCAGTGCAAGTCTGGAGATAAAGTAGAATAAACAAACAGGACCAGTACATAACTGGAGATAATTAAAATAGGATTAGTG